ATGGTCCACACTGAGGCACAAACTAATAAACTCTGTGTACAGTCGTTAAATCACTGCATAACTCTATGAATCTACTAAGGTTCCATCAAATAAACATTAGGTGATTGAGGTATCTGTACACTGAATGTTTTTTCTTACAATAAAATACTATTGGTTTAAACTGTCAAACACCAAGCGGTCACCGGTGACCGCAACCTATTGTTCTATAATTGTGTCTACAAAACCGGTACTCGACGAGTTAAGAAAACATTCAAAATATGTTTAACGATTTCATTTACAGCGGTATTTCGTGTGGCTGCGAAATTTGTATTATCCGATGGAAACGAGATGCCACGCGGTGACAGCGTGCTAGACGAGAGCGTTCTATGATCAAGCGTGCGGAGCGACCACGCGTCGGGGACTCTGCCCCCGGTTTCTTAGGTTACTGTGAATAATATTTAAGAATAGCGAAACAAATCGTCATGGCATTACGATGTTAGGCTAAATGAAAAGTTGGCAAGAATGTAAAATCTAATCGCATAACGACAACAAACAAATATAGCCCTAACTATTCATTAGTCATCTCATTAAATGAGACGTGTACCTATAAGGAGAAAGATCGCCAAATAACTATAAACATAAAATAAATATAAACATGTTGATGTAAAGTTAATCAGATATGCATATTGAGGTGGCGTGGACTTTGCCCATCTTCACATATCGAGTGTGAATGTGACTAGCAGATGATACCCGGTTGGTATAAATAGTGATATAGGAGTGACGTGGGAGACGGTGTCTGTGAATGACTTATTACTAGACGACAATATTAGTAGGGAATCGCCCTCATCAAAGGTTACAGAAAACACGAGACGTGATGAGCTTCCTAAAACGGTTTTTGCTTCCTTATTTGATGGAAATAAACCATTCTGCGAGTCTGATACGTCCGGTTTCCTTTTCACAGTTTAAACTGATCAAGAGATCTAAAAAGATACAATGAGTACACCAACTAACGCCTGAGACAAGTGGCAGGTGTCCAAGGAGACCAGAATGACAGCTGAACTTATTTTAGTTGCAAGGGCTTCAAGTTCAATGCTGAGATAAACGCAGACTTCCATTGTCGTTAGGGTCACGCACCTCTGCACGGAAAAAGGAAACCGTCAACTGACTTTTAACCGATTCGACCTGATGCCTGTTCGTCGGTTAGATGTTTGTTGGAAAATGGCACATAATGACTATAAACTGTTTGACATACATATTAGTTAATCATACTTCAAAAGTTCATTGTTCATCATTTGCAAAAACGGCGGACGGTGGTTAGTAATGGGTTTATATTTTCATTTCCATAATAGAATAGGTAGTATAGATACATGGATACAAATTATGGAAATGTTTTAGGTAGTTTAAAAGATACTTTTACAGAACCCATACAGTAATCGTGTGAATAAACGGCTGTTACGATAAAAAGCCGTATGACCGCCACGTCAAGGTTGGACTTGTTAATTCTTTATAGCACACCTCATCAATATTCTATTACTTTTAGCAAAATGAGTAAAATTTTTAATTCATGTCCATATTTCTGCGAACCACTATTGATTTCTAGTCATGTATTTGTATTGTTTGTGTTTATGTTATCTTAGTTTATTGGGTTACGTCCAACCACTGTCTGTCACCACTTCCTCAAGTTGCGGGTCATATTATGATATTATCATTTGCACTTACTAGTTGGGTACCTAATAATATCATTTATGCGCACAATTTCTGTTTATCAATATGCTAAACGAGGACTGAACTTCTTTTGTCTGGGACAAATAAATTACCTATTCATGTCACTTCGATAGCATTGTCAATATAGTGATCACAGTAATTTATCACGCTGCAATCTCTTAGGGCCGGGTGTGAAACGACTAAATGTATCAGACTAGACCCTCGAACGTCATTAGCGCACAGGGGTTATTTAAACTGACCTATAGATCAGTCATTTACAACTTAATAACCTACATCGCCTACACGTGAATGTGTGGAAAACGGATAAAACAACACAACTGAGGAACAAACAAATGTTTATGAAATCTTATCTGCTAGCCAGTAGAGCATACCGCAACCCCTCACGTGCAGACACCACACTGCTTATACAACGGGTCCTATTCCTATACATGTATGCAAAGAGTACCTACCTACAGTCCGCGCGCGAGCTCCGAGGAATCGGGGGCTGCGGAAGCGGGCGGGTGTGCGCCGCGCCCGACCGTCGCTTCATACCCCGCACTATCCCAGTCTAGTGTCGACCTTGACGCGAGAGCACGCTTGTCGAATCGTTGTTTTTAATTTTGCGATAACAGTTGTACTTTCGTTGACGTCACAACAGCAGATTGGTGTGGATATGATAAACATGTCTTAGCATTAGAGGAACATTACTGGAAAAAGGATGGCTTAATGGAGGATGTTGTCGACTCATTTATTATTGAAGTACGTGAGGAGAGTGACGATAGTACATCAAATTCTTCAAGTACTGATAATTCTGATTTCGACAGTGATTAATTGGATTTTACGTTCTATTTGTTCATTAAGTATCAGTTCATTAAATTAAATACATACGTGATACAATTGTTTTATTTTATTTCAAATACATATTACCCTCATAGAATTATTTCTTAATTTACACTCGCGCGGAGACTTAAGATGTGTTAGTATCGATAGCACAATATCGACTAATTCACAACTCTAGCTCATTACGTCAACATTCCTTAACATTCCTCGGAGCTCGCGCGCGGACTGTACATATAGGATTCAAACATGCAGATATAAGAATCATGCTTACTACCACAGTACCTCTCGGTCCGATCGAGAAATATTGATTCCATTTTACGCTGAAACCTATTTGCGCAATCGATATAATGATTGCGAATGTTATCGTATCAGAAACCCATGTTTTTGCCCGGTGAATGTAAGATAATGATAGAACATAACATTAGCTGATATATAGGTAAATGTGTTTTTAGTATGAATATCTCTGGTATGACATAATAAGCGCTCCAAGGCCATCGTGTCAAGATAGTGATGGTGTCAAAATAGAACGTTTTAGTAAACAACTGTAAAGAAATGTAACCAGAAGCAATTAATCAGATCTACACATTATGTAAATGTCTGATATGTTGACCGTTTATTAATCATTACGATTAATAAATTCCACAGAAGTAAATTATTATCTCTCTTTACAATTAATGGAAAATCCATTCCACCAATCAACTAAACATGTGAGCTAAAAACAAAGATTTGTTACAGCAATGTTTAAGTGTATACTTAACTAATGTTAGGTAATTATTGAGGAGCTTCTCGGAAGAGGAAAACATAAAACCATAACAACTAGACATCTCATGTGTGTAAATACCACATAAAAAAAGAAAAATGCACGAAAATTCCTAATCGGAAAAAATAGAAAGGAAGGGTAAAACACGCTACAATAAAGACTTTATCACAACAGCGATAATTTAATTATCGGAAGACGCACGTAATGTCGTCTGATCGTCGTCTTATTCATGTGGTCTGATCGAATCAGCAAATTATTTTATTATGTAACACCTTTACGTTTACAAATGTGTAAATAAAATGAATATATCCAACTACGTAAAAGAAAAGTACGAGGCCGCACCGCAATAATGATGGGTCTCACTAATTGTCCTACAGTACTTCCACGCGCTACATTTCTTATAGTGGTGGATCCTCAAAAAAACTTATGTAAAGGAGGTCAGTCATGCGAGGTGTATCGGGGTGTAAGGAAACGAGTTTCAAAGCCAAGATCATCAAGGCTAAGGATTTCGCGCACTGTTTACTTTAATACTAACTCTACACTGGACTGTGGACAAATAAATTATAAGTATATTTCCTACATGTTAATATTCCATTCTCGGTAATATGGGGATTGTATGACTCACAAGCAAATATGCAAGCCACCAAGAGTAAAAAACAATGTTGATTCAAACCACTGTCATTATCTGATCCATTACTGCATTTCAATAAACAACCATAATAGCTTTGTTGTTTACTAAATTTACTTAAGTTTTATATTATCCTGTATTTTAGCATAAAATCCCCCAAATAAAATGCTCATGCATATTCGATGAAGTCTCTAAAGGTTAAAACCTAAATATGGGCAGGTTAACCATAATTTAATTTAGAAATTGTAAGAAATACTTATACTCTAGACCAGCAGGTAAAGTGAAAACAAAGAGTATAACAGCATGAAGGCCTACGTGTGTAAATGATATAAACGTTTCAAAACAACCAATAGAGTACACTGTAGTGCAACACCCCACCGATCACCAATAAGGTAAATGCCAGTGATTTACACAAGAAACCAATGTGTTAAAATGCAGCAAAGTGCTTACTGAATTCGGCAAAAACAGAACAATAAAACGATAGCAAACTAAAATGGTTAATTCTAAATACATATAACAACACAATATTTAATTAAAACTAAGTAGGAAAACATTGTAAGTCAACCAAAACATCATAACAACAATAATAATTCTGCGTAGAAACACTGATTGCGAATTGCACAGTTCATCATAAATCCATTAATTTTCAACAATACATTATGAAAGCAAAATCAAAACAATTACCTATAGCAAAGAAAAATATATACCTTAGCAAGGAGCAACTGAGGAAGCAATGCTTTACTGTCAACTTTCTAAGGCACAAAATGTTTCTTTTGGTAGAATACAAACAATTACAGTCAACTGTATTTTTCGTACACAATTCCGAACACAGGTATGATTTCGACACGTGTTGCTCGCGCCGACTCTACCAGTAAACTGCCTGTGAGTGGCTGGTGTGGGTGGGCCGATACGAGAGCGTCCAAGTGCCGTGCATGGGCTGACGTCGTGTGACGTAGTGTCGTTGATATGATACCGCAGAATATCAGTCACACACACAGCTCACACCACTGACCATGTGCTTTAACATTCGCTTTGCTTGCTTTATAGTTATACAGAACGAGAACGCTCATCGCACTGCGAGCGGACGGCCTGGGGGCCAATTCTCGGCTTTAGAGATGATGTCGAACTCGACAAAAATGTCTAATGACGTCATTTTTTCGTCAAATTTTAAAAGTTGCTATTCTGGAGATGTCGAATGCGACATTTGTCGAAGGCTAACGTTAGAGTTCATGTCGAGTGCTTCTGAGCAGTAGAGATGGCATGTCGATTGTAGAGATACGCCATTTCTGTGAATTCGTTGAGTTTCGAATTGTACAGTGTTTTCTTTTCTTTCGTTTTAAAGTAAAATACGGCTTGGCATCTTATAAGTATGAACATTGGAAATTCAGTATAGACTCTTCAATTTGTGTATTGTGTTTTCTTGAAACGACGACAGTCTTTAATTTGTGTACCCACGATTGGACTTGAAACTTGAAACATGGACGAGTTTATTAATATTTTTATCTTGGAGATGTTGGAAAGTGGCGAGCGACTGGCCAATACACGGCGGCAACAGCGCACTTATCCCGTCGTCGATATTTACGACTTGAGCGATAGCGAAGTTGTTAAAAACTTTAGATTAAATAAAAATTTAATCAGAGTTTTAATAGACCTATTGGCTCCTGTAATTCAGGATACCACAAAAATAGACCTAAAAACGAAGGTAAGTTAGTCTATAAGTATTCCATAAAGTAACCTTACAGACCAAAAATACTAATTGCACACAATCTAAAATACCTAAATTACTTATTTGCACAATCTTTGGTGTACAATAGAATTTTTAGAGTGCAAAAAAGTACTTATCTGTATTAATGGAGTGCACATTATACTTAACCGATTTTATTATAGGTACTAATTGCTATTTTTATAAAATTTAGCTATTTTTATTTTAAAATACAGAACTTTATCATTTACCTTCCTACCTAACACTTGGTTATATTATTTCAGGTCCTATGCACTTTACATTTTTTGGGTACAGGGAGTTATCAAACTCCAACTGGGAACTTAAACAAAATAAATGTGTCCCAGGCAACAACCTCCCGTTGCATAAGTGATGTTGTGGAAGCATTAAACCATCCAAACATTTTTCATGAATGGGTGAGATTTCCAAGAACGTTGCAAGAGCTTCAAACAATAGCCTTAGAGTAAGACATTTATACATATTTGTGTTTAATATCCAAGCACTCATCTAATTTTCATAACTGTGTAGACTTAATGTATTGTTATCTTTTTAGCTTTTACAACTGCTATGGGTTTCCTGGAGTGATAGGATGCATCGACTGCACACATGTTGCTATTGTGCCTCCTCCGGGAACTACGCATGATGAGAGAAGCTATGTTAATAGGAAGAACTTTCACTCCATTAACACGCAGTTGGTTTGTATTAATTTGATATCCATGAAGTTAAAAAATATTATACTTAATCAAACTGATGTAGCCGCTTTATACTTCAAATTTTAACTTTACAGATTTGTGATTCCAAAATGAAAATTTTGAATGTGAATGCACTATTCCCAGGCAGTACACACGATTCCTATATCTGGAGCAACTCTACAGTATTGCCTGTACTACAAAATCTCCATAATGCTGGATATACAAACTATCACTTATTGGGTATGCACTATACTACTATCTTATCAAATTTATCTCAAAACTTGGTAAAATAAGAAAGTTGCAGTACAGGTTTTGTTCTATACATACTAATTATACATATTTTTATCAATTATTATACTGCTAGGCTTCATTACAAATGCAATATATTTTCAGGTGATAGTGGTTATCCCTTGAGGCCATGGTGTCTAACACCCATATTGAACTTGGAGGAGGATGATGATGAGAATAGGCCTGCATTTCTATACAATGAAGCACTTCAGAAAACGCGATCAACTATAGAGCGTTGTAATGGAGTGCTAAAGGGACGATTCAGGTGTCTTTTGAAGGACAGAGTGTTACATTACACGCCTAATAAGGCTACCAAAATAATTAACGCCTGCTGTGTATTACACAATTTATGTATAGCCCACAATTTTGAACTTACTGATATGCTTGAAGAGAGTGAGTTAGGCATAATTAATATAGACCCTCCACCCACAACAGGAGGTAATATTTATTTAAATTTAGGCAGAAATAAACAACGAAATATAATTAATAATTACTTTTCTTAACTTTTAATAAAGTGTTACAAAATATTTATAAATTGTTTTATTTATTACCTTAATATAAGTACATTACTAAATAAAAAAAAAACATGGTAAACAATATTCAATAAAAAATATATATTATACATTACTAGTTGTTACACTTTGTAAAACAATGTAGCACAAACTCGTTAAAGTATCTAACTAAGGCTGACAAATTTCTTGACCTCAGTGACACACTTTTTCAATATAAAGTCGGACTAATTATAAAATCACAGTACAGCGCTTAAACAATATAATAATCTTAGAAATAAACTTTACATCTACACAATCAATATGGCAGAATGTAAATAATAAACAATAATTTGTGTACATGTACATAATGTAAAGGCAGACTTTTAAACAGACTAATTATAAAATCACAGTGCAGTAATAATAATAATCTTAGAAATAAACTTTACAACTACATAAAAATCAATATGGCAGAATTATGTAAATAATAAACAATAATTTGTGTACATGTACATAATGTAGAGGCAGACTTTTAAACAGACTAATTATAAAATCACAGTGCAGTAATAATAATAATCTTAGAAATAAACTTTACAACTACATAACAATCAATATGGCAGAATTATGTAAATAATAAACAATAATTTGTGTACATTAATCAGACTAGGTAAAATCAGTCTTTTATTATTAAATCAATAATTGTCTTTTGATTATTGGTCTATGCAGATAAAATCATCACCCTTATAAGAATTATTATTCATTTATATATAGGGTGATGATCTTACATGCATAGATCTGGCTATGCTAGCCAAAGCCTCAGTTTGCTGGGCCATTAATTTAAGAAAATCAGTATAAAATTTTTGTTTAATCTCATTTTTTTTTTCCATCGCAGCACTTATTTTATCTGCAACATCAATAGAAGCCTGCTGACGTCGGGCAGCATTCGTTTTTTTTTTTTGTTTTCCTATAAACAAAATAAATTATGTTATTTTCCTTGTCAACATTTCACAAAACCCATTCAAAAAGTTTTAAAGCTGGTTGTTTGGTCCAGTAATGCCAACATTTTATTTTTATTACTATGTAATTGTTATGAATTTAAAATATTTAAAGGAATACTCTCTTCTTAGTGTACTAGAAAACAAGCGCTTAAATTCAATAACTTTTTAATTTAAAATCCTTGTATTTGTTATAATCTTTATAAACATCCAATTTATACACAGGTACATGTTAAACTAAACAAAAGTATGATTACCTCAAGATCCGGGTCATTATGGATGGTTGGAGCATAACTGTGAATATGTAAAACTAAATGAAAACATAATTACCTCGAGCTCCAGAGGTCCCTCGAAGAGCAGCTGCACCCACACTGGATTGTGAGGTGCCTGGCCGATTGTCACATTGTATCAAATCTAGGACATATAAAACAAACATTAAAATTGATTCATTATGGAAACCTTATCTTAACAAACTTGAATATTTATTCACTTTCATTTTATAACTGAGAATTTGTAAAGCATAATGAAAGTAGATTACCTCGAGATCCAGAAATCCCACGAGGAGCAGCTGCACCCATAATGGATTGTGAGGGGCCTGGTATATTCTCACATTGCAGGACATCTAGGACATATAAAACATATATGGAAACCTTATCTTAAACTGTCAAATACCAAGCGGTCACCGGTGACCGCAACCTATTGTTCTATAATTGTGTCTATAATGACGGTACTCGACGAGTTAAAAAACTTGAATATTTATACATATATAGTTTTATTAACTGAGAATATGTAAAGATTACTGATAATAGAATTACCTTGAGATCCAGAGGTCTCTCCAGGTGCCATACACATGCTAACTTCTGAGGTACCTGGTGTGGCTAAATCTGAAAACAAAGAAAACAAAATGTAACTCTAATTGCAATGTATATAATAATTGCTGCATACCATAAAATTCTAAAAAAACTTAAGTTTAACTCACCAATAAATTCCACGATCGATTCATTGGAATCTATGTGGCCGACAACGGCAGCAGAACTAAATGTGCCAAGCACCAATTGGTCCTCTTCAGTCAACTGTTCTGGTGGTGGACCTCCTCCAGTCAACATCGATTGCCTTCTGATTGTTGCTACTTTATTTTTTGTTTTTGATTTTTTATCTTGCCAACTCTGAAATAAAATTATTATGTTAGTATGAACATATACAAATTGAGAATGAAATCATATACAAAAATAAATAAATGACTGATAAGTAGAGAATTGGAAAACATTGCGGTAATGAAAACAGCGAGCGATGAAGTCAGCGAACGATAAAGTATAAAAACGGTTGAGTTACAGAAAGATAGATAAGTGTACTTACTTTTCGCCAACCATCCCAAGATTTTTTGGCTCCGGCCACAGCATTCAACTGCTGAGCGATGGCTTGCCATCTTCTTTCTGCTTCCTTTTTTGAAAAGTTAGAGGAGAATTTACCTCCTCTTAATTCCGGGTCTGCTTCCACAAGTTGGACTAGTAATAGTTTTTGTTGGGCACTAGGGTATTTTTTCTCTCCCTGCATATTAAACTGTCAAATACCAAGCGGTCACCGGTGACCGCAACCTATTGTTCTATAATTGTGTCTGCAAAACCGGTACTCGACGAGTTAAAACGAAAATTATAAAAATGTCCAACAGAATAGCCCACTAGTGAGTGATGATGAACATATAAAAGTTTTGAAACAACCGCTTACAGATCCAAATTGTGACACTGACAGACAGTCAACTGGAACTGTCCTGTCAAATTGAATATTTTTGCACTAAACGTTCCGTTTTAACTTAAATAATTAGGTTTAGTGAACGTTTTATGACAAAATCATTCATTCACTCACAACTACCTAAAATGGAACGTGCGATTCTGCATAATGGTAACATTATCTTCACTCGACTCGACATTTTCGTGACATTTGTTTCTATTTTGACTGAGAATACGGATTTCTGTGCAATTCGACATTTTTTGGTAGAGATAGAGATATTTTTGATAGACATAGAGATAGACTTACAATGTCGAACTCGAGATAAATGGCGAAAATCGAGAATTGGCCCCCTGGGTCGGTCGATCGCGCGACATGGCGTGATGTCGTACCATCGCCTGTTACGAAAGTAAGTTTACCTCCAAGTTTACCAACACGCACTGCAAAAGGAAATTAATTGTGGATGTTGTCGACATGTACGACATGCCCAATATGGTAAAGCAATGAGATGGCTAGTCTCATGAGCGTGTTATATCATCTCTGGTGTATGTGAATGTCTATGACATTAAACTAGTGGCTTATGAAATAATTGTTCATCATCGTCATAATACCTGCGAGAGGTAAATCTTGCTCATAACAAAGCTAGTTTGGATACGACCGCAATTTTCTTGGCCTTACTATTAAAAATAGATTTGTAAATAAAGACAGTAAAGACGAATGAATGAATTTCAGATTTTTATACATCAGACGTAAATGAATGCAAAATATATTCATCGGAAACAGAAACTTAAAAGGTAGCTTTGTTTAGAGCTATATAAGTGGATACTCGAGTGTAAGATTGTAAACAACATCACGTCGTAGTATCAATCGTGGATCGCAATGGGTTAATTCACGTCTATATTTCATACAGTCTACCTAGGTGTTACTCATCCATGTGACTAAAATATCGTAAACAAAAACAATGCTTGTTTATCAGCTATGAAACGCATTACGTTAGCCAAGACGAACGAACCCACGCTGTTTTGTATTGTTCTATTTTATTTTTATTTATTTATTATCCAATGATACTTTACTCCAATATAAAAGACCTTTGCTCGACGTGGCATTGACAAAATCTTCCTTGAAAAATAACCAGTTTTAGTTTTAGATATTATTTTGGCAATACTGGTATAGCCAGGAAGTGAATTTTTGTTCAACGTAATTTAGTTTCAGCGAAGAAGATAAATTTTGTTTCAGTGTTAACTGTAAGGTCTTTCTCTTGATTTCATGAGCTTTTTTTGATCATAAGAATTTCAGCACAACTCTGTCAACCGCGTACCACTTATATTTTCTAGTCTCAATTTCTGGAATTATAAATTAAATCTTACTGTCAAAAATCCGGAACTTTGTAGAACACTATCATAAATCTCACCAATTTATAGCTGAATATTAGATTTTCTTATTTAACTACTTTATTTTCGCTGACCGCTAAGAAATTGTTCTAAAAACTGAGCATGGCTTTAATTTGTTTCAAAACATTTTACTAGCGCCAATTTCGTTGATAGCAGTCAACACATTGCCTCTTTTAGGTAGACCTTTAGTTATTGAATTTGTATGATATTTAAGCTGCTTTTAATCCATCCACACACAACTAATGACTAAAATTCTCTGGATCGATCTCGGTTTTTGACAGGAACTCCTATCAAATACATACTTACTAATGTCAAAAACCGATCTTTTCCCACAGATTATAGATTGAGATCGGTAATTTAAATGTCCTTCAAAAAATTGAAATCGTAATAAAAGAGCTACGATAGAAAACTATCGTAGCTCTTTTTGAAGTAGTCCTGAAAGACCCTTATGGAAAATTAAAATTGGCATGTCAGATTCTAATTACATGGTCGTACTTTCATGGCAGATATGAAGGTAAGTCGTATGCAGACCTTTGAGGGTGTTAAGTATATACTTGATTTGGCTGCTTGTTGTGTACAATACGACTGACGAGGACAAGTCCTTGTAGCTAAAACAATCTTGCAGCTAAAATAATCTAAGGATTACCAAAATAATTAAATAGGTTTACTACTAATGAAAAAACAATGACGTCCGTACTATCACTGAAATTACGAGATTTAGGTATATTTTGATTTAGGAATTTAAAAATATTTTTGTTCGTGTATGGGTCGATCGATATTAAATCGAGAGATAAAAGTAAAAAAAAAAACTTATATAACGTAAGTAATTTAAAATGACGTACGAGTTTATCTATAAAATTGTTTTAGTTATAATCTTGACTCTGACTACGGTATCAAACAGGAAGTTTTATAAAGGTATTTTAAAAGTTTGCTGTTTGTCCACAACTGAATTGGAGGTGTGTCTGGCGTATATTAATAGAACGAGGTACTTAGCTTCGATATTAAACATGCGCATATAAAACTGATCATTAACATTTAAGACATGCGACCAGATGAAATTATATCAGCAGCATATAATAGCGACGTAACAAAATACAGCCACCTTATTAGTCTAGGAATGGGTGTGTCATGACGTGTATTTACGACTAGCAGAGAGGACCGATGGCGCCATACGATGCCTGTTGCGTATTATTTAAACCACAAGGTCAGGCTTAACAAGTTGCTCGAAAAAATACTAACCCGTACGAGGTACTTTCAACCGTATATCCACTACTGTAGATAATATATTCGCATTTGCAAATTTGCGAAAACGGCGTGCACGCACAAATATTATCGCGCCAGTGGCCTTCAGCTTCTTGTAATGCGCGCATGCCAGTGATATTGTGAGGCGTAATATGCGGAAAACATGTTTGTTTTTCTAAATCCGCTTATCAAAGATGAGATTTACACGCCCCCCAATACTTTAATCCGATTTTTCGAAAGGACGAAATAATTCATAAAATTACAATGTCATATTAATTATGTACGATTAAGTAAACTTATTATAATAATTTAATATACCTATTATTATTATCTATTTTACGTTTATATTTGCACGTGTACGATGGATAACTTTTTCTAGTATGTTCTCAGTTACGACAAAAAAGTTACATAAGAAATAATTATTTAAATAAGGCACTGTGAACAATTAACAATAAATAAAATTGAGTATTAAGTAGTATATGCCGGAATACTGAAACGTTACTCAATTTTAAGTCGTGCTCAAATATCGAGCCATCTCTGTCATTTTACAAAGAATTTGTAGAGATAGAACTATACTTAAGCACGACTTAAAATTGAGTAGCGTTTCAGTATTCCGACAATAGTCTTAAAACAATACAATTATTTATTAAACCATTTTCCATTGCACAACCTTGAGGGTATTTTTCATAAGAAAATTGGTGCCTGTGTGAATTTCCTCGGATTACCCGGTTGTTTTTTTTTTCATATATGAGTTGTCTTAGCGGTACTCAGTAAACACTGTTTCAGTTAAAACTCAAAAAATTGTAAAGTTAACTTTGTATAGTCAGCGCCGAGCTGACTTATACTTCGTCGATCACACAGCTTATGAATTTCTGATTATGCCCTGGATTTGGCTTGAAAGTAGTCGAGCTTTTTCAAAATGTCGTATTAGTATTTTTATTATTATCTACATACAGAGAACATACATACGATGGAAAACAAGTTTATTATTTTTAAAAGTGTTACATAAATACATAATACACCAAAATGATAAGTAAATTGTTTCACTATCTTAAATACTTGTGTTTAGTCATCTATTGATGCGATATGCGATCTTGGCTTTATTATCAGCACATCACATCACAATAAGGAAAATAAAAAAATCATAATTATAATATTACAGATACAGTTATTTCATTCGGTGCAATTTGTATAGCATTACTCAGTATTTTATTCACTTAAGTAAAAACTATTTGTATGGGGAAATAAAGTTAAAAAAGTACTGGGTACTTTATGTGATATATCCTCATATAATCCTACATTTATTCCAGTCTCCTAGCTACCAAAACATTTTAAGATCAAAAAAATCATATATGTAGGTATACGGTCGATTGAGAACCTCCTCCTTTTTTTTGAAGTCGGTTATTAAGCCAAATCGGTTCAGTAGCTCTCGAGTTTTATATCAATCCAGTTCAAAAACGGAGGCGTTCTACTGGGCATTATATTAGGACCAACTATTTTTGTTTTTGCAATGTCGTTATTTTTTTATTTATACTTAGTTGACGGCTTAAGTGATTAGAGATAAGATTCAATTTCACTAGGGCGACTAAGATTTAGGTCATGAATTAGATCTGCACAGGCAGATCCAAATTGAATAATTTTAAAGGTTTTTCAATTCTAGCGTAATAAAACATCAAGATTTATAGCAGGTTCGACGTACTGCAATAGTTTCATAATATAAACATTGGCATATGACGTATTATATGGCTGGGCGACTCGCTGTTGAGTCGCAACACACTACAGTTTGCAAACAGAACTACGACAGAAGAAGTTCTATTACTGAAATACAACCCAAATATTACCTGTATTAAATAGAGAAAAATATAATTTATTAATTGATGTATTTTTTTAAGGGTGTAAATCATCGAATGACTACTCCTTACTGACTAAAAACCACTCCGTTCGTACTCCTGCACTTCGAGCCGAAGCTCTGGTAACCCGTTAAGTTTTCCACGGCTCCGTATCAGCATCAGCCCTATTGGTCCCCATCTGTGGTATTTTGATCTCTCTTTGAGGCGCGCGTGGAAGGCGACGCGCTTTACGCTGGTGTCTGGTTCTGGTCGGGAGTCGAGCTACCCATGCTCGCCGTCCGCAGGCTCGTGCTTACGGTATCATTGATGTATTGTATCGTATTATGACTACAGTTACTATAATGTACAATACTTAAAATATTAAAGGTTCTGATTAATATTTAGTGTTATTAATTCCAGGCATACAATTTATATGGTGCAACAGTAAACTAAGAATGTTCCACACAAATGAATGGTTGCATCAGACTCAGACACTAATAAAATAATTATAATGATTGCACCATTCTTTCACTGTATCCATGCACCTCTGCTTACCATTCCAAGGATTAAAAGGTATGATGTTATGTCACGTAAGAATTGGTTGAGGAACACAATAACATGTAATAAGCAGAACCATTTCATTTTGAATTTAAGGGTGAAGTAACTCTTCTCAATTCTTAGCTAATATCTTAATAGATTCTAATATCTTAAAAATCCCTTTTCGAGTCTGTTTATATGAAGGTGATAAACTCAAGAACTATAGATGGATTTTTAGTAGTTGTCACCAATAGATAGTGTGCATGTCAATACAGGCAAAGTCGCCCTTGAAAAGCTAGTTAAGGATAAATTTGTTTTCATTGTGTCTGTGTGTTGGTGTTGAAATGGGAATCCTTCTAATATTCATGTTTTTTTTAATAGGTAATACATTAATATATATAGTAATAAAAAACCTATGTGTGTGGAAGATAGAGGTAAAGAGCTAGTTCAAACTAAAAGATTAAAGTAAGGCTTGGTTGATAACGGTGCACGGAGATTTTAGTAGGGCAATATTAATAAGTTACAAACCTTTATATCGAGGGGTAATGGACTATTTGGTTTAAGCAACATTTTGGGCGATATTGAGTTATATATATATTCGGAATCAGCGCATTTTTCTCTGTCGAATATATATAATAACTCAATATCGCCCAAAATGTCACTTAAACCAAATAGTCCGTTACCCCTCAATATAGTTTTTTTTTTAAATAGAGAAGATAGGCCAAGGTGTATATATATATATATCACAATATCATACCTGGTGTAGACCAATCTTACTACGAGTCTTATGAAACGGAGGGTGAGAATGTGGCCATATACCAGTCACAGAGAACTTATTGTTTGTCTTCTGTTTAAGAACAAAGAAGTATTGTAAATGTAAATTCTGTGTTAGTAACCAGAATAATTAGCTATTGAGACAATGGAATTAATACAAAATGTTGCTAATTAAGTATTATAAATGGACGAGGAAACTGGAAAGCAGTTAACATTTATTAGTTTTGTATGCAAGTGTATAAATGTTCAAATAATTAGAAATGGTTTATTTGGGTCACAAATAAATAAATTGCAATTTTTAGTCATTGGTAAGAATTAAAATTGTATTCCCTCAATGTTATGTAGTGAAATACAACAAATTATGATGGCCAGTGGGAAGAGGCCTTTGCCCACCTATGGGACAGTTCACAGGCTGACAGAGGATAGATGTTCTTCATAAATAATTCTAAAATTGAATTGGTAAATACATTCTCGAAAATCATTCAAAATTGTAATATCGTTTTCTTTCAATATTTTCAAAATAGAAACAGCTTTCAAATGTTTACTAAATAGCACAGTAGACCAGTTGACATCTGTTATTATCTTTGTTTACACTAAATAACAAATTAAAACAATTAAGTTGCGGGTTACCGCACGTCTTACTCATCCTTTGTTCGATTGAACCAACTTATTACACTTATACTTATGGCCAATGAACGAAAGTACAGGTTTTTAACAGAAAATGCCCTATTTGATAGGGTACTACACTACTGAAGTTTGTAAAACTTGACAGTTTCCTAATAATCACAAATCATTTTATACATACAGAAATCTGAAAGTGATGAAGGTTTCGCAACTATAATTATATTTTCTCTTGAAAAATAGTACTACAATTTGCTCCTGTGTAGGTAATTCCATTCAGTTTAACAATAAAATATAATAGGACTCACCGAATTGTAGAGAATTCACTATAGATGTCGTACAGTTAAAAGATCAATAACACTACGTACTGCAGAGAAAATAAATTATTTTCGAAGTACAACCATAAGCTCAAATAGAATAGCAAAGCACAAACAAAAGATACCAGACAAAGTAGTATTTTCCCGTGTTGACAATTTGACATTGACATATAGCAGACTGACATTAGAGTAGTACACAATCTTATTAGTCGACTAAATTATTTACAATTATATCGATTATTGAAAAATAGTGAATCCATAAAAAACTGTTGTGATGTGAAAAGATACAACACCAAGCGAAATCAGTGTTTTACATAACGTGGGATAAAATAAACGAGATTTAACATAATTATGCTCTTTTATTCACATACTTAATGTTATTTAAAAAATATAGTTACATATTATTATTATTGTATTAGGTTTGCAAAAATAAGCGTTGCTGTGATATGCTATGGTAAATGAGTTTGTGAGCGGTCGGAAGCACTTTCTGTTGAATCAGCTGCGCCATTGGGTATAGGTTCTGGAGTACCGGACGTCCCTCTAGATGTTATAGCATTCTGGCATTTGTTGCGTAACTCAAACACTTGAGTTATAGCGTCACGGAAGCACAAAAAATTGTAGTCTATCACACCTGAAACCAAAACCATAATTAAATGTTTTTCAGCTTCCCAAAGACTCTTGCTGGGATATACATCCAGTTCATTAGTTATTTATACCAACTGCTTTTTACTTCCTGTTCTTATCACAAGTTATTTAAGGTGGATACAAACATATTATATAAAGGTCTTGCTTTTCCCCTTATCAGATTTCTTTAGTCTCTTACTCTTTTTGCAAATGCAAATTCATATAAGCTTACTAAACATAAAATAAATCATACTGTACCTTGTTTTTGGAAGTTTTCTTCACGCAAAATACAAACGAGCGCAAGGAATTTGTTGACCTCACGAAGATACAGCACGGTACCATTGTTCAGCTTTATTAAACTGGAACTCTGACTGTTAAATGTGTTCACTTCAGTTTCATCAACCATGCTAAAAAATAAGTAAACCACATAATGAGTTATACTTAAGCCAAATAAAAATCCAGTGCAAAAAATATTTGAGTATTTGTAATTTGGATGTGTAATAGAAAGTATATTACCCATAAATACAAGATATATCAATAACAACATCAATCATATCACAGCACAGTTCGTAACTCTGCATGTCCACTGGAGAACTGTCTGTTGCAATATAGATCTTAGACACCACATCAAAAAGGAATGCTTTTTCAATGCCAGAGTTCTGCAAAAAATGTTCATTTATAACAAATCAAACTCAACAAAGAAAAAATCAAAGGGGTTGTTTCACTATGTCTAATTAAGTTTCTGTTAGGGCAACAATGTAATGTATTTTCTGTATGAATTGTGCCAAACTTTGAGTCAGTTAAGCGATAGATTTAAACTGTCAAACACCAAGCGGTCACCGGTGACCGCAACCTATTGTTCTATAATTGTGTCTACAAAACCGGTACTCGACGAGTTAAATTAAGTGGTAGTTAACCTAACAGCCTAATTAGACAATGATGAAGCTCTCAATAATATTAATTACTGACAGATATGAGGATGTTTAGAAGATTTTCTAAAGTTGGTAATTGCGGAATCAGCTTTTGTACTACTTTACTGAATGCTTCAAATATGGAGTGGTCATATATCGAGGTCAAGTGAAATGATAAGTGCACATGTTCCAATCCAGCTTCAGCCAGGTCCTCAGTAGCTCGATGATGAATGTCTCTTTGAGATTCCATCTTGTAATCGTCATTGAGACCATCAACCTGTAATGATGAAAACATCCTTAATATTTCATCCAATTAAAAAATTGTAAACTAGATGTATTTATTTATTGAAATAAGCAACCCTAACAAAGTTATATTCGGAATAAATTAGTAATTCTAAAATAAATTCTAGCATAATGTCTGAAGCATCATTTTTTTAAACAATTATGCTAAATAGAATCTAAACTATATTTTAATGACATAATGTTCTTAATTCAATGTTTATTTTAGTAATGTGTACATAATTGTCATAACCAAAACAGAACACCAACTAAATGAGTCATGGTTAATCAAATATAATTATGAGGCAGATAAGTACTCACAAATGTCAATACATATTTGTAACAAAATTGAATGAGAGCAGCTACATTAGGTGATACTTACTTTATGTATAAATACTTCAAACTTAATGTTACTGTTTACTCTGTATGCCTTGGTGACAGTTAATTGTAACTTATCCAAAGCATCTTGGTAGTCATCCTGGAATATAAAGTACAAGAATTAGACTTATTTACTTATTTCAATTAAATAGTATAACATTACAGTTTACAGTCATAAAACCAAGGTGACTTGTATATTCATAATTAATTGTTTAATTTAACCCAACAATGGCACCCACCTGGGCATCAATAACAAAGACCAGAGCACCACATCCTCCAAATATTGTGTCTGAATCAAATGTTGCATCAAAGAAATCAATCTGGCCTGGGAAGTCCCAGATTTGAAACTGTACAAAACTGCTGTTATTAATGTCATCTTTCACAATTTTATTTGTTGACTCCAAAAATAATGTTTCATTTGGTGACATTTTGTGAAACACCACTTTCTGTATAGATGACTTTCCCGATCTAAAATCAGAAGAACAGATTTTTTTTTAATTCTCATTAAATAATATTGTAAACTTAACCACCACACTAACCGTCTTCAGTTGATCCTTATCAGAATCAACAAAAATTAAGAATCTATTACACGCCTATCGATTTGTTTTGTAAAACTGGCTGTCTGAAGCCATTACTTTGTTGAGGCCCCATAAGTACAAAAGAATACCTTCTCAGTCCCATGAGCAGAATCCTAGGCTTGTGATCTTCCTGTAGTGAAGTATTGTCACCATCTCCATTTTGCTCGAATGGCCCATAACTGAAGTCCTTGGGGAAGGACCCAACATAACAACTGGGATCGTCTTGATAACTCTGAATCATAAAGTTGATAAAAGCCAATTTGTATCGTTGTTATTCCAATATTCAATTGCTATTAACTTGACATGTCAACTCACCATTATAGTAAAATTGTTACATACACGGATATTATATACAAAGAATTAGAAATAAATATATAATCTATTTAAATTGGCTAAACTTTTAACATTTTATAAAACACTGCGTATTTCTAATGCATAAAAACATGAATTGCCTGACGATAGTACTCAGACAGAATAACAGATGTCAAATTGACAGCGTAGTTACAGATGACATTTTAAATTACTGACAGCTGTTAATGACGTGTGGTCGAAAACATAGATAATACTTTGTTGGATTCAGTAGTTGACTTACTGGTTTTTCAGCACCTAATGTTTTTTTATGAATTAGGAGGTAAACAAGCAGACGCTGTGGTGTGTAGGCAGGCACTGTGTGTAGGTAATAATAGGGAAGTAAATTTCTTTTTAGCATTACTATACTCTATGATTGAAAGTTTATAAACGCATTTTCGCACCCTCTGTACAATACAAACAAAAAAAATCAAAATATACCGAACTAAGTAAAATATGTCCTTTTTTTAGTAAGCTTATTTAATTAAGGGGTGGCATAAAAAGATGTGGTAAAAGAGCAGACAGATCATTTGGTGGCGAGTGATCGGCACCACTTATGGACACCCCCAATGGGTTACGACTTTATTTATGGACATTTGGCCGCTATTTCGCCAGGAAGCATTGATGCAGCCAATGATGGAGCACGGCTGCCTATTATTATTTTATTAACATAAGTTAGGCCTGAGTGAATAGCAAAGAGTATAATAAGTATAGGGGTTGTGAATAGTCACTCAGGCCTTGACACCCAAGTTGTAAACACCTTTTGATAAACACAGACTGACAAAAAATCCCACCATTCCTTAGTGGTTCGCACAAGAAATTTTGAAGCGGAACGCTTCGTGTAAGTGAGCGGACATCCACCATCTATACTATTTTTATAAAGCATAAGCCGGTAAACCAGCAGACGGATCACTTGATGGTAAGCAATCGGCGCCGCCCATAGACACCCGAAACACCCGATAAACCAAACCCGATAACGCACTTGAAATTTCAAGTTTCAAGTGCGTTACCAGAACCCCTATACTTATCATACTCTTTGGTTACCAGCCTTTTCAGAATTGGAAATTTGAGGATTAGGGAGGATTCGGTGATTCGGGAGACTAGGGAGGGGGGTAACTGGGCTTCCAGTAACCTCACTCACACGACGAAACAACGCAAGCATTGTTTCACGTCGGTTTTCTATGAGGCCATTGTATCACTCCGGTCGAGCCGGCCCATTCGTGTCGAAGCATGGCTCTCCCGCACTTATTATACTCTTTGGCCACCACGTTAGCAGATTGACGTTACGTAGTTCCCATAAATTATATGGCATAAAATAAATAAAAAGTCATAATTATAATTATTTTATTAACTATGAAATAAGTGTAATTAAACTAACAATTACGATAAGGTTAATTTAAGTAACGAATATTAAAACAATATATCAATAACATACCGAGTATAAAGAAAATTTTTAACAAGTCCATATATCCATCAAAGAAGACGAGTATTATAGTACAGATTATTTGCAGGTTTTCTACAATTACAATATTCAACACCCGATGATGATCCATTAACCGTTAGCAAAGGAGGTCGCAAAGGTGGAGCTAGTGCAGCAGTCAAATTATCTACACTAGCATGGGGTTCTGGTCTCCGTAACCGTCGATCTCGCTCCGCACGCTGTCTCTCGTAGCGCTGGGCGTAAGCCACACTGCGTTGTAAACCTGCAAGACTATCAGTACGAGCTGGGAACCGTTCCAAACTGTTCGACACTTCCCCCACTTCTGCAGTATCGGTGTCCACAATTTCCTGGTGATCCAATATCATACCAATATTAAGCTTAAGATTCGTTGAACCATCTCTATAAATGAGATATATAGTAGCTTGGTCTAGCACTTTCAAAGAAAAATGTTCATTGATCTTCAAAGCTTTCATCTTTATTTGAAACGGTTTAAATTTTTGAGACAATTTCTTACTTTTCTCTTTGATAAAATTATCAAATTCTATAGCTAACATTTCTTCATTATCCGGGCGAAGTCTTGTGTCTGCGATGGACCCAAGCTGAACGATTTCAGGATCTTTGTGAGCCATTTGAGTATCTATCATGACTTGCTGAAGGACCGGGGGATCATTCAATGTATGCCATTTCCAATGTGAAACAGGACCAATTCCACGGTCTAGTACCACACCTTCTGTTTGATTGTATTTAAGTCTGTAAAATAATTTCAACAATTTTAGGTACTTATATGTATATACCCACATATAGGTATAACCCACTACATAAATAATCTTTTAAAAAAATTAAGTAGATACTATCTATAGTATTAAAGGTAGGTAAGTAATTCCAGT